TACGACGCCTTCAGGGAGTTGGAGGACTGCAAAGGAACACAAAAACAGCTTGACCAAAACACTCTAGGAAGATTTTGTAATGGGACCAAGCAGTAAGTCGATCTCTTTATATAAAAACAGGTGTATAATTCCAAGTAGATGTCCTACATGTTATTTACATTTTGACATACAGGTAGGTGTGATATGTAATATGAGAAAGTTATGCCACTGTTTTGATGTCATTTCCAACAACTGTAGGTTTGTGAGAGAGACTGAGTATCCAGAGTTATCTGACAAACAAGGTCTTGCATCATCTTTCCCAGTGTTAAATCATTTTCAGCAGTTCTACTTTCTGGTTAGAAGGCTACAGGCTGTTGATGGTATTCTTTCAACATGCAGTTACATTCCAACAAACATTTTAAAAACTACAATGATGAAAAATGTTTCTTTTGTCTCCAGCTGAAAAAAACTTTCTAATACAGATGATATATGGCTCAGCATTGCAGATACCTGTTAGTAAGGATGAAAACGAGGTCTATTTTTCAAACACAAATACTATGCTTAAAGAGGGTCTGGATTATCTGATCAGAGTAACAAAAAACTAGAAGGAATTTAAAATTATCAACCTGTATTGCAATAGCAGTTTTACTGCTATTTCAAGATACTTCTAGTAGTTCCAAAGATTTCTCTTGATAAGAAATGTGACCTATGAATACTTACCTGCAGCATTATCTTGAATTATAGACCAATAGACATGGTTTTTGCAATTGCTAACTTTACTTTATGGCACCTGCATTCTCAAGAGGCTTTAGTCACCTGCTTCATGGTGACCTGCTTCCAGATGAAGGCATGCTTTCCTTGGAGGTGAAAGAGGAACTCAGAGCTCAGGAAAAGCACAGATGAGCCCTGAGCCTTCTGACACTGGGCAGTTCCCAAGGCAGGAGTGTCTCTGACACAACCCAGACAAGTATTTGCAGCTGTCTGAACTGGAGCATTGTTCCCAAGGTTCCCCACAAGCAGCAGCACCTACTGAAGACATCCAGAATGTGTAGTTCTCAACAGGCTCCCTTCTCCTCCCCCACAAGGAACTTCACAAGTTTCTGGCTGTTGTCTGTGGTCCTCTGAACAAATTTAGAACTTGCCAATTCCTTACATTCCTCCTGCCCTGCACCACAGTGCTGGTAGGGGTTGAGGATCTCACACTGCACAATTGTATTAACAGCTTTTCTCATTTTGTCAAATGAATTAAAACTTGAACACTAAAAGTTTATTTCAAAAAACAAATTTCCTCAGATCTGAGACCCATTTACTTAGGTCATTTTTCACGTATCACCCATTACACCATTTATCCTTTCTGCCTATATATTTCTGTGTCATTTCCTTCCTCTTCACCCTACTGATTTCAGCCACATTTTTGTTCTGTCATCTGAGGGCACCATCAGAAATTTTCACTGTAATGCATTCCCATCAGCACCACTCACTCCCCATGGCACTATTAAGTTTAATGTCCACAAACATATCAGCTTTTGCTAATTTTAACAGAAGAGATCATAAAGATGATTAGACTTGCACACAATTAGTGATACACAAGCCAAGGAAACAAAGAAAAAGACCTCCTCACATAATCTACCAGATAATTAAGAACAGAAATACATACATCATTAATTACCTCTGACACGAGAAACTGTCTTTTGTGAATTAAAAAAAAATCCTATTCATTCACAGTCAAAAAAACCTCAAAGGCACCCTAATACATTATTCTAATAAAGTGAATCAGATATATAGACACTTAAACATTTAAAAATGTTCCTTTTAGCACATGCAAACTCCACTTTTTTTCCCTAGAAATGCCACAAATTCATCCCTCCAAATTCATTCTAACAACATCAGAGCCCCACTGTCCTAGCAAGACATAAATATGAAGTTTTCCATGAGAAATATGGAATCACTGACCATACAGCTGTCAAATGAGGAAAAGAAAGGTACCATACAATTTTCCTTCTGTATTTTCCTCACAAATTGTGTAAATGTTATTCATGATCACAAAATGACTGCAAAATATATTAAAAAGCTCTTTGCAAAGTTTTGCTCCTTCTGTCCTGATCCCAGTGGGATCACACATTATACACAACTCCTCAAGCCCTTGTGTGCTTCATTTCAAGCTGCTTTCACACAGGCCTTGGCTCTGCTTCTTAGAGATCTAAGGAATCTTTGTTAGTTTTACTATAAAAGCAGTAACTACTTATTTATGCAAGCCTTTAAATTGCTGGACATCTGCTAAATGCTCCAGGAGCTCCATGGGTATCTGCCAGCAAGCAGGAGTCCTTAACGATCCTCTTTGCTGGCAAAATCTGTTCAAGAGCTCTGCATCATTTCAGCTTCCTGACTTTAAAAGCTGAGAGCCAACCTTGACCGAATGTGTCTAATGCATCCTTTATTTCTCACAGCAGAAGGAGGGACAATCTACCCTTCACTCATTCCTGATCCTTCAGGCAGAATGAAATGTGATGACTTAGGATGCTGGGGAGAAGGACTTTAGGGGTCTGAGTGATTCCCTCTTACAGAATCCAAGCTTCAATAAAAATGGTGGCAGTGGTACAATAAGGAGCAACACGAGGGACTTAATATTAAAAATTCCATCTTGACTTGGCATAGCTCTAGTTTCCTGACACAAATGTATCTTTTAATTCTAGCAATATTGTAATATGTGGATTTATCTGGGCAAAAATACATTTATACACAGTTATACTTTCTAGACTGTAGTCTAAGAGTCAAACTGCCAAAATAAAATATTTGAAATCTGAATTAAATCAGTAAGGGAACAAATTGAGCAAAAAACACTGCACATTGAACAGGTTTACAGAAAAAACATTAACTGCAAGTTACAGCACACGTCCTTCTCTCGCCAAAAATATCAACAGGATCGCACATGGAAAAATGTTCCCACATTATTTTTCACTCATGATCTGTACATCCTTTTGGTGTAATTACATTGTAAGTGATTTGAGATTTCAACAGTATAATTAATTAAACAGTACAATTTTGCTGTGGTTGCTAGCCTTGGGTTGTGACTGTGGTGTACCAGCAGAAAAACAAGCAACCTTTCTTAATTATATAAATCTAGTTATTTAATCCAAATTCTATTTCAACTGTGTTACTCACAGTGAAACCTACGACTGAGATGTACAACATGAGATCTACCAGTAAGTTCACTGAAACTCAATAGCTCCCACATAATTCCTGACGATTAATAATCGATTCCTTGGTCAACTTTTAGTTAAAAGATCAGAATTAAAATTTAACTCCTGGACTCTCATGCTTGCTATAGAATTTCTAGGAATTGCCCTTTCTTCTTCAACAAAAAACAGGCATTAAATAGGCCCCAATGTAGGGGGTATTTTCCCTCCCTTGCTGCCACAAGAAATGCAGTGGTTCTCCTTATTTACAAAAGGGAATGATTTTATGGTCTAATGCAGAAAGACATATCCAGAATCTCAGAGATGCAAATAGCCTCAGCACCATGGCACAACAGGTCTGGTACCTGAGCTCAGTTCTTGCTTCACAGCCCAAGTCTTCAGCAGACACAAAGCTGCTGCCAAGGGAAGCAGCCTCCTGGCTGACCTTCCTGGTGTGCCTCACTGCAGTCACAGCACGTTCTTCTGGTACCTGGCCAATCTTCTCACGTGTTTCAAAACAATGCTGTAATTTATTTTATAATTTTTTTTTCCAAATACTTAACAGATTTGCTGCAAGAAAATTTGAGAAGTCTTCAGGTAAATGACTTCAGGTATTTGTCATTACGTACAGACTAGTATTTTGCAATTATCAGCTTTCATCATTAACGGAGTTACATCTGCTCTCCAATTAGCTGCAGGGGGAGACACTTTTCCAAGTTTTCTAAGCACCTGAATTTTCTTGTATTTCTTCCTCTATTTTGCAGGAGTGAAAAAACGCATATTTTGTACTTTCATATCACTGAGTCTTATCTGCCTTGGCAGAAACACATGTAGCTCCTGGACTGTAAAATTAAGAATTACAGATCAAACCTTTCATTTCGTTTACCCTCAAATTTAACCAGCACACAGCCTACTTTGTCTGCATTCTTTGCAATTTTGGTCACGTCTTAGAAATCCTATCTCTGAATCTTTCAAAAAAACCTAAAACAACGCCACATCACTTAATGAAACTTGAGCATTGCACAGATGCATCCCAGATATAACAAATGCTGTCTTGGTGTATTCTCTTTTTAAACCTTCCTCCCTATATCAGGAGGAAAATTACGTGTTTCCTAATACTCTCCGAGGATCAAGTTTATTTCTTTAAAAAAGTATTTGTATCGAGTTCTGTCTCCACTTAATTTTTTTGCAATAAAACTAACGCCATTCCATAGAAACAAGTACGCATTACATTTTACATTTTTTAGGAAAATCATCATTATAAGGCACATACTCTAAAACGCAAACTTAAAAGGTTGTCTTTCAGGTTTTGTCAATATAGTAATAATAATACGCTCCAGAGAGCAAGTTAAAATGCCGCGGGACCACTTAAGCAGTACATTAAAAGCTGTTTTCCCTAACTTTTCGCAGCTTTGGTTACAGACCAAGCACAAGCTTTTTGGCACAGAGCGCAGCCCGCGCACCCTCCGGGGAGGCGTTCGGAGCCCGGCGCCGGGCGGAAGCACAGCAGGGGCTGCGGGCCGGCGGGCTCGGCTGCGGGGCGGGCGGCGCGCACGGGGCTGGGATCGCCTCACGGCCCGGGGGAGCGCGGCGGGCCCGGGCAGGGCGCGGCCCCTCCGCCAGCCCGGGCACGGCAATGGGGCCCTGGGCCGCCCGGAGCTCCCGGCGTGGGGGGGAACGGGGCTGCCGCTGCCTCCTCCCGGCCCCTCCGGCTCTGCGCCTTCGACCCTCACCTTGAGCAGCGTGTCCGCCAGGTACACGGCGCACCAGCCGCCCAGCACGGTCACCACCACCGGCACCGGGATCATCGCGGGCCGCGCCGCGCCTCAGCGGGGCAGCCCCGGAACCCAACCTGCCCGGAACCTTTCTCCGACCGGCCCTACTGCCCGGGCGGACGCTTCCGGGCAGCGCGTCGAGCGAGGGCAGGTGGCGGCATGACGTCACGGGCTGAGGAACGGGGCAGCGTTCGGGACGTTACGGAGGGGCGCGTGCGCAGTGGGGGCGGGGGCGAGGGGCGGGGCTGGGCTGGGCTGACGGTGGTGGGCGCTGAGCGCTGAGGGCTGCGGGGGTCGGGAGAGTTCCTGATCCGCTGCCTAAAGGCGCCGTAGCTGCGTCCTCCAGTGTGTTCGTTGGAGCGGCTGCAGTGATAGCAGTGGGGAGATTGCGTGTGGGAATAAATGCTGTTTGTGGTGGCAAGATCAGAGCACGTTGTGGAAGCGCTTCAGTAACGAGAGAGTAACAAGATTCCCTTTAACCGCTGACGTTCTCTCAGAAATTTAGCACCGACCTCGTTGCACAACAAAATCATTCTATGAAGCTGCCTGTGAGAGTGGCTTTTAAACAAATGCTTCCTGGGCCCATGTTTCCTTCCCAGGCCGCTGTCAGTGCTGATTCTCCAGCTGTGTGCCTGTAGTGGGTCTGGCTGACACGGAGTTAATTTTCCCTCATGGCTTTGCTTTGGTACCAAGAAAGGTGTTGGTAACACACCGGGGTTTGGCACAGCATCCACACTGGCTCTCCAGCATCATGGGCTGGGGGTGGGCAGGATCCTGGGAGAGGATACAGCTGGGACAGCAAATTAACCAAAGGGATATTCCATGCCACGTGGCCTCAGATACAAAAACTAAGCAAAGGAGGAGGAAGCATTTGTTACTTTCAGTGTTTGACTTCCAGAGCAAGTGAGAGAAAACAGCCCTGGGCAGCCTCTCATCACTGGCATTTGCGGGTGCAGAGCAGGAATTGAGCTAGTAGTGAATGCTGCCTTTTACTTCTGTTTGCTCAATTCCTTTGTCTTTCATCTTAACTCAGGGATTGTTTCCCCCCCCTGCGTTTAGATTTTCCATCGTTCTAACAACTCTGCTCTTTCATGGAAGCTGTCCATGTTGAGTGATGCCTTTTGAGAACATTGGAAAGAACTTCATTTGGACATGAAATCTGAAGAATTACAGAAGTGTATCCAGCCCTGCATGCAACCGAGTTTGAGTTTATGCACAGGCATTGAAGACTTTGAGATGTCCCCAGCACCTGAAAGGAGTTATAAACAGCCACAGAATATTGAGATCTGATAATGATTTTTTTTTTCTGCACTGGTTCCCAGTCTAATAAATTTTCAAATAATTGAAAAATCATGCAAATATGGTTTATTCTACACTTTATTGTTTGAAAACTCAAGTTGTTCCATAGACCAACATGAATTTAATATAAATATACAGGCTATAAACCAGTGGTGGTCTTCAGAAGCAATGGAGGGAAATTGTATTCAAACAGTTGAGAAAGCAAATACTTTTACTAGTGTCATACCTTCACTGAAATAAAGCAAACTAAAATGAACATGTTTAAGTGAACCAGTTGGTGACCAGGTTTTGTAACCTTATTGTATTTTTCTTCTACATTCAGTTAGTGTACCATAAAAATACAGACTTGAATTTTATTAAGTTTTCTTGGAAATATGAAGTGCACCTTAAAAAAAGCATGAAAATAAAATATATTTTTAATATAAAATCTATATTTTACTGCTGGAAAGTTTATCTCAACAAAGTAAACAAAAATAAGAACTTTCTAGAATGCAGAAGATGGATGTTCTGAGTGAACTGCCAGCCCCAGTGTTCTGACTTGGGTAACATGAGAGCTGTTTTGCCCGTGGCAGAGGCAGAGTTTATTCTTGTTCCCATGGAATTAAGTTGTTGTGGTCTGTGATGTGTTACATGGAGTGGTTGCATTTTAAAAGTAAAGGTATTCAGGATTAAAGATTTCCACTTTAAAATGGTTCAGGTGGTAGCACAGATACTGATACACATTTTACCCCTGCTTGGTTTTATTTAGAGGCAGGTATTAAGCTGAAGCAGTGGCCCTGCAGTCACCGTGTGTGTGCTCAGTGTCCAAACGCTGTTCCAGAGCAATTCAGCTGTCAGAGTGTCAGAGTCACAGCTGAGGGGTGCATCGGGGGAGGCACGACTGGACCTCAGCAGGGCAAGTATCTAAGAATGTTGGAAAAGGTTAAACATCAATCATCATACAAGAGTATGTTAGTCCATGCAAAAAAGCTTAGACAGGAAAAAAATTCTCTTATGAACAATATTACTGATTAAATATAATTTATCAATTATCAAACCTAAATACCAAATAGAATCTGTTAATAATACAGTAATTAAGATATTATCAAGTTCAATTAGTGATTTAATATCGTAGGCATCTCTTCCTAGACATGGTAAATGTATTTATTTGAGATTAACAATATGTCTAATTATTAATGTCTTCAACTTTGATCTATTATTCAAGTAGATATGTGATTATTCAGATATTACCATAGAAGACAAGTTGCTAAATAAGAGTAAAACTACCCTGAACAGCACTATCAAAATCCTTTATATTAGAGGGGTTTGCAGGGTTTCAGGGAAATTTTACCCAATTGCAGTTCATCAAAGACTCAGACCTAAAATCAGCTAAAATGTTGATTTTGTCGAGGAAGGTTGTAAATTTTTCAGTTTGAAGAAGACACTACAATCAACATGAATTGATTGGATAAGTGTTTGAGCCTTGGGGAAAGAAAATGGGGTTTTGATATGTTCTGAGTAGTCTTCATCTTTAGAATGTTGAGCATGGAGATGAGCTAAGGACAGGAAAGGACAATTGGGATAAAATGTGATTCTGCAAATTTTTACTGTGTCAATGTAACTTAAAGTGAAGGGGTGCTTCCACAGAGTACATGGATGTTTCCAGAATGAGCCTCCAAGCCTACCTGAGAATTTAAAGTACAGACTAGAATGCATGAAAGAAGTCCGTGGGGGAAGATGAAATAGATGGTCCATTAAGCAGTTCTGCAAGTTGGGAGGTTGCTTCTGGAGGAAATAAAGAGATCAGAATAAAGAAGAAATCCAAGACACGAGAGGAAACATATAGAGACTAGCATGCTGCAGAGATGTGTGTAGCATTGGTTGTAGAAGTATGAAGAAAAGATGTGTGTTCATTACCTTAGTAATATTATTGTATTAAAAAAATCAGTATAGGGGAGTAACTCAGGTGGTGGGAATTATGGAGATATATGTGTGATCTTTTAAACTGAAACCCAAACAAGAAACTAAAAAAAATCCTTTAATCTTTGCTTTGCTTAAAAAAGATAAGAGCAGAACATAACACAATTTTATTGTTTTGGGTGTTTTTGTGTTCCAGTTACAGTATAAAAAAATCTTGCTTAATTTAAATAGAAGTGAAATCGAAATACTTTGTTACAGTTCAGGATTTATGTGCAGTATTTAACCTGGTTACCAAAAATACTTGCTGGAAAGGTGGAATTTTGATTCTTAAAACAATTGAAATTCGTTCTTAAGTCACTATTCATCTGAAAACGTAGGTAAAGGAAAAGTGCAAGTGTTCCTAGAAGTATGCCTTTACTGGATTATTCTGCAAAAAACAATAGTTGTACATGCTTTTTCACCAGTTGTCTCAGAGTGTTGATCTATAGCAAAACAAAATATAGGTTTTTCTTATTTGCTGTCAGTTTGCAGCATTTATCCATCTGTATTAACTCTGTTAGGCAAATCTCAGCTGGAATTACATCTAAAAGAGAGTCCTCCAAAGCTGTCACGTTCCAAGGAGAAATAAGTTTCAGACTTTAAAGAAAAGCAAAGAAAATGGAGAAACTTGAGAGATGTGGCCTGAGTATTATTCTAGAATATAGTTCAACGAAAACATCAGTTTCAGGCTTATGCTACTCATTTTTATATTATAGTCTTGCTTGCATCCTCTGTAATCATTTAGCAGTTACACATGAAGAAAATCTACTGGAGAGCAGCTATTCAGCATTAGCTCTTATGCTGGGAGCCCTTTATAACTTTAAAAGTCTATCCATGAAAATGAGTTTACCTAAATTACAGGAAATAAAGGGCTTAGTCAGTGAAGGAGGAGACCATAAAAGGGCATAATATCAAACAATTGTTTCAATGTTTGATGGGTTTTTTTGCTTTAAATTACCTGTGAAGTCCCTATGGACACAGTCCTGTGTTCTACTGCAGAATGCAAAATAAATTAAGTAGATTCAGTCTAACAGGTATTGTTTAATGTATGCTGTAACCTGAAATAAATGCACATGATAGCATTAGACGTATTTACTTTGAGCCCCAAAACCTGTAGGGCAGCCTTAAACCCTAGGGAAAGAAGGGGCTTTAGCATGAGCAAGTCGAAGTGAGGTAACAGTTTGAGACAAAGTAGTCAGTAATTCATCATTTCATCATGTATTAAAGCCTGAAACATTTCTCTTCATAGAAGCATAGATTGGGTTGGGTTGGGAGGGGCTGAAAGCCATCTAGTTCCAATCCCCCACCATGGGCAGGGACACCCTGTCCTAGACCAGGTTGCTCAGGGCTCCATCCAATCTGGATTCATCTGTGCAAATGTGATACTTTTTCGTTCCGAACAATAGGAATGTCTTGCACAGGATGAAGCAGTGAGGATATCCCCAGAACTGTCCACTTGGACTGCACAGGTGGCTGAAGCAGCTCCTGAATTCCTTCATCATGCAGCATGGCACTGAGTTAAACCAGCACTGGTTTTGTTCTACCTCAGGGACAGAAGGGAGCAGCTTTGTGATTACATAGCACTGCACACAGTGGATAAACTAATTTTAACTGGTGTCCCAGTACTACAAATCTGCTCTGTCCCTTGTCAGCCAGACACCTGTGAACTATCCATGACAAAACTGTGGGTCTGCCTTATACAGACCACTTTGTGTTAGGAGCCTAAGCTAAGAACATTTCCTTTCTTATAATAAATAGTTTAACAGTTGGCTTCAATAGAACAGGGAACATGTTCATGGATACTCTAGTCAGAGTATAGTCAGTACCTCACCAACAGCTGGTGGGCACAGAAAACACAGAGCAGCCTGCAGTTCTCAAAAGCAATTTCCAAGACAAATGATTTTCAAGCATCACTTTTAGCTCCAGACCTTGAGAAGTAAACTGTACTTTAAAGAGCTGGTGCTGCACAGCCAGAGGAGATGGAGTGAAACAGCTTAATATGGTTTCTTTATCCAGGCTTGTTTTCATCCTTGTATAGAAGATACTGCCTGTCCACAACTCTAATTCATGGATGTAAAGTACGATATGAAGATTTGAAAAACTACTTTGTGTAATTTCCTAAGAGAAACGCTTTTTGATCCTGGAGATTTGATATTGTACTGGAAAACATCTTTGCCCAGTGGAGCAGCTGGAGGAATTATCATTTTGTGCCGACACTGAATTCTTTTGGCAATTTCTCTCTGAACATTGCAATATTTGTGTGGCAGGAGGCCACAGATAATTGAAAAATGTTTCTGTAGCAGATTTGATTAAATAAAAATAAAGTTTAATAGCGATGATGTCTGACTACTTGATAGACAGGTATGACTAGTAGATTTTTTCATATCTTCACCATGGAAAGCATTAATTCTTATTTTTTCAGAACATTGGAGGTGTGACAAGGTAAGGATTTTTTCCTTATGACTCTTGAAAACTAAGGTAAGTGTCCTGATGCTGATTCAAACTTTAAAAATCTTTACACCCACAATTTAATGATCTTAATCTTTTATTTTCTGTTCAGCAGGTACAAACCAAAGATACCAATTGATAAATCACATATAATTCATCAGGTTGTTTAGTTGTCCTTGAGTAATAACTTCTTGTCTAAAGGCATTAACTTATTTATAATGTCCTTGTAATTCTGCTTCTCCTCCAGCCCATTTCCTCATCTTACTTGTTCTGGTTGCATCTTTCTGCCAGAGAGATTTTTAATGTCTCAAACATATATTTCTTTCCTCTCAATATGCCATTCAGATGAGAAATCAGCAGAACTTAGTCTCTTGTTCTCTTTGTTAGACTTCAGATGATTGTGCTCACGGAGGGACCATAGCTGCAATTTTTTGTCATGCTTTATCACAACAGAGAAATAAATTACTTTCTGTGGTGCTGAGTCCCCAAGTCGTCTGGTATATCTGTACTTAGTTCTCATATATATCTATGGCTTGAGTCAGCAGCAAAATTCCCTGCTGCAGTCAGCTAAGGTCTTAATCTGACAAGATCTGATAGTGCACAGCTGATACGATCAGCTGATGGGGATGGGCATCATCCAAATAAGTGTGTGATGGGATTGAAAAAGGTATTACATGCTTACTTGAATTATCCTGATCTGTGAAAACAATTAGTACTCTCTGTTGAAAGCTTCAACAGTGATTTAGTCAGTTCCTGTTTTGTCAACATCACTTGCTGAGAACAGTATCTGATGGTGCAGTGTCATTTTTTTGTTTCTTTTCCAGATAATTCTGAATCATTGCAGTAGACAGGATGTTTACAAAAATCAGTGTGTAATTTAAATTTCATATTAAAAATCTGCCACTAGCCTTGCTCTTTCTTATGCTACTAGCTTAGCTAGATATACTGGTTAAAATTTACCAGTATATCTACTGGAAAAAAGTAGAAAAAGGAGAAAAGTAGAAACAAATTAATTGCTTATACATCATCATTGTCATCGTCGTCATCATCATCATCATCATCGTCATCTCATCATCATCGTTGTCGTTATCATCATCATCATGATGTTTCAGGTACCAAAAATATTTGAGTAACTAGAACTAATTTTATACAATACTAAGCAACAGAGAATATGGCTTTATGTAATAGTGGTCAAAACTATGATGTTCTAGAATTTGTATGAGTTATATTCATAAGGCAGTTTTCAGAACTTAATACAAATTCATAGATGATGCTAACAACACTATTAATGATGCTGTGACTCTGAAATTCAGAACAAGGTCACTGCGAGCTTTTAATGGGACCATCTCCTTAATACAAGGCTAATTATTTCTCTGTGGAACAGTCTGTGATAATAATCATCATATTTTTCTATGGAAAAGAAAGAGAGCATGCAGGAGTTGAATTAATATTGAGTAGCCTAGAAATGTCACAGGAACAAAATCAGATAATTTAGATATGTTTTGTATTGATTTCCTGCCTACTAGATAACAGCAAACATTTTTGCATGCTACTTTATGTCATTAATTATTTAAATAACTTGATGTTACTGTTGTTGGCATAACTATACAAATAGAAACTCAAGAGCAAGTGCTTGATTTTTTTGTTTATATTAAGAAATAGAGGTTGGGGAAAATGAGAAGACATATACAAGCAGTAGATGATACTTCCTCAAACAATTTTTCTTCTGACAAAATCGCTGATGTTTGATACTGTTTCTGCAATCTATGATTCAGAGTTGCTTTCTGTTAAAATCAAGCATAGGAATGGTTTGTGATGCCTGGTAAAATTCATGGCTCCACTATATTTTAAATTTCTGTAGTTCTGTCTATTTGACTGGCTACCATTGCTAAAGTCTCTGCCTTTCATCAAGTCTATGTGCCAAGTCAGTATTACATGGGTGCATCTATACTAAGGGGAAAGAGCCCAAAAATATAAATAAAACCTGAGTGAGATAGAAAATGGATGGTGAGTTTGGGGTTTTTTCAGGATCCTCTGCATAAGTCCTCTGATAAATCTGTCTGATAGCAGGTTTCTTATTTTTACATCTTAAACAGTAATTTCGGTATGTTGACTGAAGAGAATAGTTATGCTAGTTACACTGCAACTTTAGTTTGCATATTCTTCATTAAAAAAATCGAATGTAAAGATATGAATTAATTAGCCAAATAATATTGTGGACCCACCATTCTTACTTGATAATAAACTGTAATTTATGGAGCTAAGATTAAGACAGAGAAGCAAAGTTTTGCTTTGATAAAGATTTATAATATGTTGCTACTACATGGTAATATAAAGCAAAACTCCAGAAATGTATTTTTTCACTTCTTACTTCCAAGAAGTCTTATTTCAAGTGAGCCAAGGTTGTGACTTCTTATGTGTGGACTTGCATTTTCAATTGTATTACACTGTTTGCATTACACTGAAACATTGTGGACTACAATAGAAAAATAAATTCTTTTGGGATGCTCAGGGAAGTTTTATCTATGCTCATGAGGTTTCTCAAAAAGCAAAACATTTACGCAAATGTATTAGGTAGTGACAGGTTTAAAAAACAGTTCTGACATTATGCAGTGAAATATCTCAGTGGAGAAGTAAGACGCAT